AAGTTAGGGATGCCACAGAAAAAAATTTATAATTCGGCTCCAGAGCAGTCCCGAGATGGGAGAAAAGTGAGATAGGGTTAGCAAAGGGTTGACCCTATCAAATGGAGGAGGCACATCCGAAGTGGGCCTGGGCAACTCGGTCCCCGAGACTGTAGAGATTGCAAAAAAGTCATGGCGAAGAGATCTGGCCGCCCACAGTGGGAGGGGCATGACCTTAACGTAAGGTACTAATTAAAAAAATTGTAATTTGGTCCTAGAGCACTACAGACGACGCAAAAAGTGGATTATGGTCCCCAAGTGGTCACCCGTTAAGAAGTGCGAGGCACACCGTTGTGGGCGGAGCGTGCATCGAGGTGGGCGGAGCCAGATTAAAAAATTTGTAAAACGCTTCCGGGGCTCTCCAGAGATCGGGAAAGTGGATTAATGTCAGCAGTGGGTCACCCGTTGTGAAGTGCGCAGCACACCAGTTGTGGGCGGAGCGTGCACTAAGGTGGACGGAGCGAAATTAGAAAATTGGTAAAACGCATCCGGAGCGCTCCAGACATTAGAAAAAAATGAATTAATGTCAGCAGTGGGCCACCCGTTGAGAAGTGCGCAGCACACCACTTGCGGGCAGAGCGTGCAGAGGGCTGGGCGGAGCCAAGCGAAAAATCTTCAAAACGTTCCCAGAGCAGTCCAGACACCGGCAAAAGGTGAGCAAAGATGTGCAAGACCTCGACTATTGAGAGATAGACACGCCCATTGTGGGCGAGGCAGGTGTCGAGGTGGAGGGGCAAAAGTCAAAATCCACGAGTTGCTTGCAGAGCAGCATATGCACCGGGGACATTGGACTGAAGTTCACAAGGGGTTAGTGGATGAAATGGGGCAGACATCCTCAAAATGGGAGGGCCGTACTCGGGATGGGCGGTCCTTACTAAGAAATTCCATAATTCAGACCTGAACGACTTTAGAGATCAGTAAAAATTGTTGTAGAAAAGAAACATATGGCGAAAGTTGATTGCGTCTGTGGTGTAGAGACCCGCCCACAGTGGGCTGAGGGTGCCTCTCAAGCACGAGCTGCCTGTTTTTACTGAGCTTCAGTGCATCGGCAGCCATACACTTAACCACCGGTCGTCGTAGGTACATTCGATACCAGTCGGCTCGCCAACTGACACCGGCGCGCCTCCTCTGCGATGCGGCCTGGCCTTGCCGGGCGGGCGTGGCTTCGTCTCGCCTATCTGCTTTCGTTCGTATATTTAGCTTTTCTCTCATCTCTGCACTTCATCAACGCTCCTTACCACAATTTCATGTACAGTAATAGTGTTGAAAATAGCAGGTATGATGTTATTGGTAAAGGAGCGTTAGTCATCTGTTCAGATAAAAAAAGCCGGATATTAGTTGGGTATACATTCATGTGGAAGAAGGTAAGCGCGGCGAAGCTGGACCGTATCAGAAGGAGGCGCGTCGGCGTCAGTCGGCGAGCCGACTGGTAAATAAATAATAAATGAAGCGTAGGACAACAAATTGTAAACATCCTAATGGCGAGTGACGTGATAGGTGAAGAGCTGATGTCTTTGCATAAAGAAGCGAAAATTCAATCGAACATGCATCCTCTTTGCCGTATTCTCGTACAGTGCTCGAAATGGGGTCAAATTCAGGGCGTTTCCGAAACTTTCCCTAGCTTTCTTCCTCACTGCAGATCACTCAGCACCTTCACATTTGCGTTTGTACCCCTCTACCCAAGGTGTCAAAATTCCTTATCCACAATTAACGCTCTCATATGGTAGCGGGTAACAGAAGAAACAGGCTAGTTTTTTTTCAAGGTACTCAGATCTTTTCGGAAGATCCCTGATGCCACAATGGAACTGCTACCGTTCACGATGTGCTAAGCAGAATATGGCGTACATGATTCACAAAATGAAGCAAAAGAGGAAAGGTGGAAATCCTCCCTCAGGACCTCCCAAAGCATGAAATCAGTGAGATAAAGGTAAGCAAAAATGCACGTACGTCTAATGGCTGTCCTTTAACCTTCGCTTGAGATGTAACACTTCCGATGTGGTGACATAGTTCGATGAGATACACAACTAACTGACAAGGTTCAAAGTTCTCAGCGCTACCGGTAATCACCTAAAATCCTTTTCAGCATAATTTTCAGAGAAAAGAATCATGCAAGTCCGTCAAATAAATTCTCACATCTGGGAACTTTTCAATCTGGTTGACTAATTTCCCAAATTCCGGTGTCTCCAAGGGAATTGAGTCGCACCTGTCCAACAAAGGGTAAAAGCTCGGCGTTGTTCGCTTCGATAGAACACAAGCGACTATGTTTCACATGAAATACGAAACGATTTGAACCTTGAAGTGCTACAGACAGTTACCGAACTGTATTGGAAAGGTCTAATCATACTTGTAGCAACAGCGCGTTGTTATGATTGAGGTCAAACGCGTTCTTGAACGAAAACTCGTATTCAGCTAACTTCGCCCTCTTCAAATCATTGAATATCACAGGTTGATATGGAGAGCTGACGTGCTACCTCGAAGGTGGTGCGCCATGTGAATATAAACTATCCAGATATTGAACATCATTCTTCTTCTGTACTACTACACATACTTCTTCCTCTTTCTCAGGCGGTACTTTAACAGTTTTGGATTCCTTCATGAACTGAAGAGCCAACTCCGTACCACGTTTAATGATGTCTCCAACCACTTCTGTCCGACCCATCCTAGACTGAGAACAAATTAAAGGAGCTCACTCTTGTCCAAGAAATGCCATGAAACTAAACTTGTAGCTATGTTATTGTCCTAAACTAATCGGTAGCAAGGGTACTGACAAAGGAACTGAACGGTCCTATCACAAACAACTATTTAATCACTTTTAAACTCACTTGCCACTATCGCCTTCTTCTAGGGGTGATCTGTAGGAAAATGAGACATACATGAAAGTTGAGAGAGAAGGACATGTTCGGGCTTAGGACTCGCTTAGGCAGCCTTTAGACCAGGGCACATCATTGGTGGGGATTTTGGTCGCGTCCGGTCGACCCCACCTAGGGTTGATGCGACCCCCACCCCTAGTTCTCTCCTCTGATAGAGCATCGATGAGGCGGGAAGGGGTAGGGAGACAACAACTAGATACGACCGCCCCCCCCCCCTTACGTAGCTTCCGTGAAACACAAAAAAATCAACTATCAAAAAAACCTCAGACGAAGTACGACCTCCCCCTCCTGTTGTAATCCCCAACGACGATCTGTCCTGATTCAGACCTTAGTCTTCTTGCTAATGCTGCCCACGGCGCTAAAAATGCATTGTCCTTCAATGCTACTTACAAGGGAAGGATGGTAGGTCGAAGTGGCCATTTGAAATGAAATGTATACCGGCTGAAAGGTCTTCGGACGGGAATTACGAAACCGTCTTCCATATCTGCTGCGGACCTCCCAGAAAGAAGTTACGGAGCTTTTTTGGGGGAGAATACACTACAAATTGGCGGCGTAAGGCTGACGAGATCGTGGCAGCATGGCCGAGTGGATACGTCGTAGGGCTCACGGATGCGTGGTCGAGGGTTTGGATCCTTGATGCGTGTGCTCTTTTGCATTTTTTCGAAAGTGGTCCCTGTGCACTTCAAAGCTATTTTGCATAACACTTGTCCATGATAATGTCGTGTAATGATTCTGAACTGATGGAGCCATTGCGAACGATTTCATGGAGATCACTTCTGGCTGTTGTCTTCTTCTTTCTTTGATTTGAAAAGCATACACAACAAAAGTGCATTCCAAAGGAAGATTTTGCCTTCAAATGACTTTATTCTCCAAACGACATGACTGGAAAACGAATCCGAACGCACGAAGTTGTGCAGGAAGATGATTATAGTGGGAAA